CTACAGATTTACTTATGCTTATGCTATCTAGTTAAAAAAAATTAAGGTAATGTATATTCCACTAATAAAGACAGTTTAAATTTTGCATTCACTTTTACAGAACAGAAAAATAATATTTTTGTGACTTATATTTCTTCCCTTAATAAAGTTTGAGTGCCAGAGAATAAGAGAGATATTTTTTGTAAGGACACACTGTATATAGCCTTAGACTTTGGAAACAATCATTTCTAAAATACAGTTTTAATACTGGTGGTTGAACAAAAGCATTTATGCCTACTAAGGTAAGAATTAATTGCAATGTAATGGCAGATTTAATTGAAATCACCTAGTATACATTTACAGAGTCTTATGAGAAAGTCATTTTAACTGAACCAGGATTTTATTCCCTGAGACACTTGAATAAAGTAAATTCAACTTAAATAGTTCCTGAAATAGAATATGATCACACTTCTCAAACAATCAATGCAGATATAAACTCATGAATTATGTCGTTTCAGGTGATTTATTTGTTCTATCTATTCTGGACCATGGAAAGAAGCAATAATATCACTGTGTTTATTTTCTTGGGACTTTCCCCAAACAAGAACATTGAAATCCTATGCTTTGCACTATTTTTATTTTTTTATATTGCTATTTTAACAGGAAACTTGCTCATAATGATTTCCATCACATGCACTCAGCTAATTGACCAACCCATGTATTTCTTCCTCAACTATCTCTCACTCTCTGACCTTTTATATACATCCACGGTAACCCCCAGACTAATGGCTGACTTATTGGCAGACAGGAAGACAATTTCCTACAATAACTGTATGATACAGCTCTTTACCACCCACCTCTTTGGAGGCATTGAGATCTTCATTCTCACAGGGATGGCCTATGACCGCTATGTGGCCATCTGTAAGCCACTGCACTATGCAACCATCATGAACAAGCAAAGGTGCAACACAATCATCATCGCTTGTTGTACCGGAGGATTTATACACTCTGGAAGTCAGTTTCTTCTCACCATCTTCTTACCTTTCTGTGGCCCCAATGAGATAGATCACTACTTCTGTGATGTGAATCCTTTGCTGAAATTAGCCTGCTCTGATACACACATAATAGGTCTCCTAGTCATTGCCAATTCAGGCCTAGTTGCTCTGGTGACCTTTGTTGTCCTGATGCTGTCTTACTTTTTTATATTGTATACCATCAGAACGTACTCTGCAGAGAGCCGCAGCAAAGCTCTTTCCACATGCAGTTCTCATGTGACAGTTGTGGTCCTGTTTTTCGCACCTGTATTATTCATTTACATGAGACCAGCCACGACATTCCCAGAAGATAAAATATTTGCTCTGTTTTACACCATCATTGCCCCCATGTTCAACCCTCTGATATACACACTGAGAAACATGGAGATGAAGAATGCCATGAGAAAAGTGTGGTGTCATCAAATACCCCCGAAACAAAAGTTAAATTTTAATTATTTCTGTTCTTGGTGCCATGATTCCATAAGACCACATCTGTAAGGAAGGTCCATTCTCACCATCTTCTGGTGATTATTTGGAAAGATAATTGGGCAAACAGGATACATGTACCTTCTCTTGTTTTATGCTTATATTCTGACACTTAATCAGCAAATTGAACATTATTATCCTCTCTTTCGTTTTACTTAATCATTAAGATTTTGTTCATACAATTTGTTCAAAATGAATGATTACATGGCATTGTATTGAGAAAGTAAATAGACTATGCATTTTTCATTATTTAAAAGGTGGATAAACTGAATAAAATATAACTTTTAATTATAATACCCATTCTCTGAAGTATAATACAAAAAATTGCACTTATCATGACTCAGGAATTTTTGCAAACAAAGCACTATTGTGTGATCAGCAACCAGATTAAGAGACACAAGTTACTATCACACCAAAGGTTTTTTATTTTCTCTTTATAATATCCCTTAAAGGTAACCATAATCTTCAAATTCAAAATGAGTTTTACCTGTCTTTGTACTTTGTAAAATATGAGTGATACTGATTGTAATTTTTTTCTTAGCATCTGTTTTATTATTTCAATCATGAGAGTCATTCTTCATGATTGTGAATTTTCTTATGGTTTATTTTCATTGATGTATTGCATTTTGCTACCGAAATATATAGTGATTAGATTTTTCATTCAGTTCTTGCTAGACATTTGGGAAGTTTCACATTACAGCTGTTACATATAGTGCTGCTTTGAACGTTTTGGAACAGGTCTTTTAGTGACTATACATCTTTCATTGTTTATTCATTATACATTATATGATAATTAAGATATCATTTTTAGAAAGTAGCTGTGCATTTGTAGTAATAATATTTTCTAATATATCAATAATATAAAATAAAATATATTAAATAATAAAAATAATTATCCATAGAAAAATGTTATGTGAGCAAAATAAAAGGCTTGGAATATGAAACTTCTGGCTATTGTAGTAGAATATTTGCAATGAGGTGTAGGATATGCTAATTGACACAAACCTGCCTGTCAATAACAGACAAAAAGGCAGAAAACTCTTAGAATGGTATTACACGACGAAACTCAGAAGAACTCTCAGGAATGCACCATCAGGTTTTATTAGTAAGATTAAGAAAGAGGTAATCACCATTGGGAAATTTTACAATTAAGAGCTTTATGGTGGCACCTGGAGTTGCTGATCATAGTAAGTAAAATTGAAAAATTCTGCATCTAGCTTCTAATAGTCAAAAAATGTACTTCACAGGGTTCTCGTAAGGGCAGTGATGTCAGATTAAGAAGACATGCTATGAACTCATGCTATTGCTTGAGAGCCACATATGCATACATGTGCACAGACAAATAGTATAGAAATAAGATCTTTCTAGAGGCTCTTATCTGATATAATTGGAATATACCTGCACATGTACAAAACCAAAAGCATGAATAAAATAAATGTTTTAACTTTTATCCAAAGCATATAATTTTATCATAAAAAATTACTCATTAGGAGAACATTAGACTAGAGTCATTGATTGCTGATGTATAGCAGTTGGACACAAGCTATAATGTGAACATAGTTATATAAAATACAAAATTTTTAAAAGCATCACGTAGTAATATGAGTTTAAAATCTTCTGGTTGTTTTATAAAACAAACAAATTAACTGCAGAAAATGAAAAATACATTTGTATTTTGGGGCTTGCCAGTGGTGTAGTGGTTAAGACAGCTAGATTTCACATGGTTTACTGTGTGGTTCAAGTCCCAGAGAGGGCAGCTTAAAAAACACACTAGGCACATATGTGTGCATGTCCAAGTCCTGAATAATAATATAAAAAGTGTATTTTTAAACATGGAGTTTCACTGTCTCTAATTTCCTCCCAGTTGGCACTCTACAGGACTCTACAGGCACTCTCCACAACACTCAACCTTTAGGATGGACTGACAGTTACATCTGGGCCTCCATTTGGGCCGGTCTGTGGAGGACAGTGTCATAGCAACATGCACCAGGATATTTTTATTAGAAATGTAATGGATAAAACTTCCTAAAAGTAAAACTTTTACTCAAAAGGATATGTATTATCATCATTTTATTATTAATTTATTAAATAAATGTTTAAGAGCAGCCATTTATTTGAGTCAAACTACTTGTCACAGCTACTGGGATTACCAAATTGGATAAGACTTGGTTTTCTATCATTGGCAATTAGTAATCATTGACAGGATAAAACAGGCCTGACCCAATATAGTAAAGGTCATAATCAACATATTCATCAATATAGTAAAGGCCATAATCAACATATTCATGTCCTGAAGGTTCACAGTGCTGAAACATGTAAATCAAAGGGAAGGATTCTCTGAGGAAGGAATGCCTTAGCTGGGCTTTATAAGGGAAGAGAGAATTGCCTAGAACAAAAGAGGTTGCATGAAAAAGTATGCCATGTATCAATTCACATGAAAGTAATACGTTAGAGAGACCAGCAGATAGCATAATAGTTACATCACTGGACTCCCATGTAGTCAACCATGACCCAAGTCCCAGACCCAATGTCATAAAACTCATGCCAATTGTGTCTGGATGCATGTCAAAATCCAGAGAGGAGAATGGAGGAGAATGGGTTGTGGCAAAGTCAGCCCCCTGAGGGGTGATTTCTTACCTTCTGTCTCTCTCCCTGTCTCTCCAGTGAGCACATACGCCTTATAACAAAAATTTCTTTCTTAAAATAATAATACTGGAGAAATCACTTAAGGTAATTTGCAAGAGAGGGAAAATGAGAAATCACTACCAGGCAAGATGGTCATGCCACAATCCCTTCTCTTCCATTTTCCTGTCACAATTTTGGGTACACAGGTACATACCTACAGCATGATTTTCAAGCAGCTGAGTCCAGGGCTTAAACAATGGTTGGCTATGTGGGACTCCAGCCCCTTAGCGATATGCCTACTACTGGCCCCATAAAAAATATTTGTTATTTTGTTTTCCATGATAAACCTATTTTTGTAGGTGTTCTCCATCTTATGAAATAGAACTGCCTAATGTGTTATTTGTTCAGATTAAAATCTTACAAAATCTTTAACTATTCAATTCCTTGCACATTATTTGTCAATACATTTAAAAACTTCTGTTGTTTCTGTGCCTGGGTTTAGCCTCGGTGGAGGTGTGTTACCTCATCAGAGGCGGTGCAGGAAGGAAAGACTGAGGCCTCAGTGCCTTTTTCATGCACGTCTTCAGTTGGGCACCCTCAGAGGTTACTCTCTGAAGAGTGACCACCGCTAGGAATTATTGTGCCTTTTTATTAAAAATGTGATAAATGCAAATAAATGGGTGAAGGACTATGTGTTCTAATTATCAATTCATAAAGATTTAACAATAGGGAACATAGATTCCATTCAGGGTTAGATTAA